GGGAGAAACTCTGCCGGCCAGTGGCAGCCACGCCCGTGGCGTCCACCTGGGGCTCAGCGCCACCCGGGCCCTGTCGGGAAGTTTCCGTCCTGCTCCCACGCTGGGCAGCCCGAGTGTCAGCCCCGAGTCTGCCTAGCAGTGGGAAAGCTCGGGAAGCCTTAGATGCAGCTGGCGTCCGCAGTGCAGGCGACAGGGCCAGTCCTCCTTGCACAGCCTCACCCCGTGGGAGGGGCTTGGTGAGTGAGGACTCCTTCGGTTCCTGCAGACGTGGGCCCTTCTTCTGCCCTCGTCTGTGCCCTCGTCCTGAGGTCGCATCAGTGAGTGATTCTGACACCCCACTCTTCCATACACTGAAGAATTTATTTGTTGAGCTCCTCAAATGTATCAAACTGAATTTTGCCATTTTTAAAGAGTATTTATTGGCTGGGCGCGGTGGCTCACGCCTGTCATCCTAGCTCTCTGGGAGGCTGAGGTGGGCGGATTGCTCGAGGTTAGGAGTTCGAAACCAGCCTGAGCAAGAGCGAGACCCCGTCTCGACTATAAATAGAAAGAAATTAATTGACCAACTAATATATTGAGGTGAAAATTAAATTAACATAAAATTAATAAATTCATAAAATTCACATAAAATTAACCATTTTAAAGTGAATAATTCAGTGGCATTTAGCACATTCACAGCGTTGCAGCCCCTGTGAACCAGCAGTTCGCTTGCCGTCTGCAGTTTGCCTATTCTGGACCTTTCGTGTGCCTGGAATCCTGCACTGCGGGACCTTCCGTGTCTCGCTTGTCTCACTGGGCGCTGTTTCCGCAGCCTGTCCGTGTGTTAGGGTGTGTTAGAGCTTTGTCCTTTTTAGGGCTCAGTGGCACTCCTTTCGTCGTATAGTGTATGTGGACCACGTTTTGTCGACACATTCTCCAGCTGACCGACACTAGAGTTGTGCCCACCGCTGGCTGCTGTGCGCAGTGCCGCTACGCCCACGGGTGGACGTGCATTCATTCAGGTGCCCGTTCCAGCTCTTCGGGGCGTATAGCTCGGAGTGGAATTGTGGGGTCACGTGATAACGCTATGCCTAAGGTTTGAAGGAACTGCCAAACTGCTCCATAGGGGCTGTACTGTGCCTCTTCCCGCCAGCAGTACACAAGGGTTGCGGTTTCCCCACATCCTCGCTACGGTGATGTTCTGGTTTTTACCCATAGCTGTCCCACCAGGCATAAAGTGGGATCTGCAGTTTGGGTTTGCATTTCCCTGGTGACTAATAACGTTGAGCATCTCGTCATGTATTATTGACCGTGTCATCTCTGGAGAAGTATCCATTCAAGTCCTTTACCTATTTTTTAATTGGATGGTTTGTCTTTTTATTGTGAAGTTGTAGGAGTTCTTTTTTTTTTCTTTTTTTGTGAAACAGGGGGTCTCACTCTGTCACCCAGGCTGCAGTGCAATGGTGTGATGATAGCTCAGTGCAGCCTCAAACTCCTGGGCTCAAGTGATCCTCCTGCCTCAGCCTCCAAGTAGCTGGGACTGCAGGCCACGCCACTACACCTGGCTAATGTTTGTTTTTTTTTTTCTATTTTTCCTAGAGACAGAGTCTTGATATGATGCCCAGGCAGGTCTTGAACTCCTGGCCTCAAGCCATCCTTCCACCTTAGCCTCCCAAAGTGCTAGGATAATGGGTATGAGCCACTGCACCCACTCAGGAGATCTTTATGTATCCTGGATACGAGACTCTGACGTAGGCTGGGCGCAGGGTTTGCATCTATAATCCCATTTGCCCTGTGGCTCCCCCCATGGGTGCTCAGCGTGGGCAGGGGACAGGAGGACTCAGGTGCCTCCACTCGCCTTGCTGTGGCCTAACCATTGGGCTGAGTTGGCGTCTGAGGTGAGAGAACCTGGCAGCAGCCGTGGGGGTCACCCCAACCTCCGGACCTCGCATCTGTTCCTGGACATGCTTCGCTGCAGCTAAGCTCTGGCTCTCTCAGAGATGTGGGGGGCTGGGCCTTCCCTGGCACTTAGCCCCCGAGAGCTCTTAGCCCCAAAGATGTGTGGTGCAGGCTGCTGTGACTCCCAGGGGGGCCAGGCTACAGCATGAGGGGAGAGGAGCTCCTCCAGGACTTCAGTGATAGCAGGGCACAGGCCCAGAGTAGGTGTGGCTGTGGGCGCCTGGGCCCCGGGATGTGCCTGGCTCTTTCAGAATCACCGGGCCAGGACAGTGGAGGCTCAGAGTTCCTGGACCCCTTCTGGAGTGACCAGAGTGCTTGGGGCAGTTTCTGAGCCCCATTGTTGTGCAGTAAAAACCTGCTTCCAGGAAATGAGCTCAGCCCCTGGGCCTGGCTCTGGGTGGCCCTGACCTTCCCCTCAGCACCCCGAGACCTGTGTGTCTGGCATCCTCAGCGTGCCTACGGCGCCGTCCGGGCAGTGGGAGAGCTGCCTTCGTGCCTGGGGTGAGGGCTCAGATGGGGCACTGAGGGCTCCCGGGGCGGCTCCCGGGCCTGTGGTCACACTGCACTCGGGAAGTAGTGCCCGGGGCTCGCTGGCGCGGCGTTGGTGGTCTCGGGTACTGCTGGCACCCACCCTCCCGAGTGCTTGGGCAAGGCTCATGTTCTGTGAGAACTGGGTCCCCCTCGTGTGTCTAGCGGAACTGCCTTTCTTTGCCAACAGTCCCCGAGGTCCTGCAGCTCAGCGACAGCCTGCGCGACGACGTCCTGCCCGAGCTCGGGGTGCGGTTTGAAGACCACGAAGGTGGGTGAGCCCCTCCCTGCTGGCTGTGAAGTCACAGGAGCTCCCCTGAGACGGGAGGCGGGAAGGAGCTCGAGGGAGCCCTGCGGGGGAGCTCTGGGGCGGGGCCAAGGGCCCGTGCGTGAGTGCGTGTGGACGGGGAAGCCCACGGAGGTGCCACGCGCATTCCCGAGCGTGCCCCGCGCTTGCCGGCTGGCAGGGCAGGGGTTGCCGGCGCCTCTCCTGGGGCCTGGCTGGCTGCTGCCTGTGTCCCTGTAGGCCACTGGCCACCTTTTCTCACGCTCTGTCAGTCAAGGAAACGAGCTCGTGTCTCGCAGATTGTTAGCAAGTTTCACCCTTGTCCTCTGACTTCGTGGAGTTTTTTTCCTGGACTGAAAATTATTTTTTAATTTTTAACTTTTATGGATACGTAATAGTTCTGCATATCTGTGGGGCCCATGTGATGATTCACTGCGTGCACCCGCTGTGTCTGACCCAGTCGGGGTGACTGGGATGCCCGTCACTTCAGACACTGGTCGTGTCCTTGTGTTCCCCAGTTCTACTCTTCTAGCCATTTTGAAATACAGACAGAATTCTTGTTGACTGGAGTGGCCGTGTCATGCCACCGAGGACTGGCTCCTCCCGCACCTGCCTGTGCATGCTGCAGGCAGGCCCTCCCCGCCCTCCCCGCCCTCCCCCTGCCTGCCTCTAGCCGCTGCAGTCAGACGACTTGTCCTGTGTCTGGCTCCCGGCTGGCAGTTTGCAAAGTCCTCTCCCGCAGGGTACTTCACTGCTGTCGTGGAGGATTTCGCGTTTTGTTTTTGATGTTTACCAGGTTGATGCACCTGGAATTAACTCTGCCTTGTGAGCAGTAACAGAGGCCCCACCTGTGTTCCTCTGGGGGGCCCTTGGCCCGGCAGGCGGGGCAGGGTGGTCTGGGCAGGGCAGGGCCGGCCCGCAGCCCAGCTGCTGCTCACAGACTGTTTGCCTTTCAGGACTGCCAACGGTGGTCAAACTGGTAGACAGAGACACCTTACTGAAAGAGAGAGAAGAAAAGAAAAGGGTTAGTAAAATTAAATGTCTTGAACTTGACATTTGTTGAAAGTGTAAAAACCGTTGGGGTTTTTATAGAGTTTACTTTTAAAGAGTTGATGTTTATACTTTTATCAAAATCACAATTTTGGTTGGGATTTTAATAAATCTCAGCACTTTGGGAGGCTGAGGCAGGAGGATCTCTTGAGGCCAGGAGCTCAAGACCATCCTGGGCAACATAGCAAACCCTGTCTCCCAAAAATGCAAAAATTAGCCGGGCATGGTGGCTCTCACCTGTAGTCCTAGCTACTCAGGAGCCGAAGCAAGAAGAACCCCTGAACCCAAGAAGCTGAAGGTAAAAGGAACCAAGAAGAAAACAACGCAACCCAACCAAGAAAAAAAAAGGAAAACCCTTCCCCTAAAAAAAAAAATTGGATCATACTGGTTTTATGAAAGAAAAAATTTTTAAAAATCCCAATATTTATAAATGTTAGAAAGAAAAATTAGATAGATAACTACTTGACAATTTGGTACCCAAAAAAGAAAAATGTACCTTTAGTAAACGATTTATTTTTTAAAAATTAATGAAAGTGAAAATTAGTCCCTTTTAGCAAACTGGAGCTGATGACATGTTTAAGTCCTGCCCTGCCCTTACCTGGGGGTACCCGTCTGTCTCCTCCTCCGCCTCCTCCTCCAGTTCCCTTTGGGCACCTTGGCTTTCAGAGGCTTCTTAACCAAGTGGCGGTAGGAGGTGGGCAGCTGGCACAGGAGCCTGGGCACAAGCAAGTTTGGGGGCCAGAGAATACACATCAGGTGGCGGAGAAGCTGTCTCCCCACCTCCTCCCGGCACCACCCCCCATGCTCTACCAGCCCTCCACCTGGCTCGGTCCGGCGCTCCCGGGATCAGGGGTGGGCCCTGTGTTTAAGGACCTCAGCACCTAGCAGCAGAGCCGGCAGGAGTAAAGCCTGCGGCGTCAGGCGCGCCGGGCGCAGGGCACGGGGCACCCTTGGCATGCAGGAGCAGAGCTAGTGGACTCCCCGCACAGCAAGGAGCCGGGCCTCGGGGCTACAGCCTCCAGGGCAGAGGGGCCCCAGGAGGCCTGAGGGAGGACACCACTGTGGAGAGAGCCTCTGAGAGGAACTCCAGAAGCTGAGTCAGCAAGGTGGGTTGCAGGGTGGGGGCAGGAGCCGGTGCCCTGGTGTGGGCGGCCGGAGCGTGCAGTGCCCTGGAGGACGGGTGGCCGGAGCCCCGGGGGGCGCTCAGGGCAGGTGCGGCATGGGCTGTGGTCTGCAGGAGCTGGGCTACCCTGCAGGGTTGGACCCCCCCCCAGGCCCCTCACACTCGCTGACCCCAGCCCTGGGCCTGCCTCTGGACATCCTGGGGCTGGCGTGCACGTCCCCGCAGAGGCGGTCGGCAGGACGCGCTCTCTTGTGGCTTCCCATAGCTCACGTTTCCGACCAAGAGACTCTGGCCACAACCAGACCGCTGCCAGGCGGTGCTCTAGGGCGCAGGGCTGCTGTGGGGGCAGGGGTCACGCCGGCGCGTGCGTTGCCCCGCCTCTCCCCAGAACATTCCCACCAGCACACAAGCACATCCCATCCTGGCTTTAAAGCAGAGAAAGCAGAAACCCGGGCACTTCTCTGTGCCCAGGACTCCCCCACCTCGGCCTCCTCCCCTCAGCCAGCTCTGTCCTCCCCGCCTGGGCCGCTCAGGAGCTCTTGACCCTGGTGGCCCAGCCCCTCCCGGTCTCCAGGACCCTTGTGCCTCCTTGCCTCCTTTTCCCCCTCTCTGCATGGGGGACACTCTCTCCAGGTGACCTCACTCAGTCCCACAGCTTCTCCACCACCTGCCGTGTATTCTCTGGCCCCCAAACTTGTGCCCAGGCTCCTGTGCCAACTGCCCACCTGACAGCTCTGCTCGGTTAGGAAGCCTCTGAAAGCCAAGATGTCTAAAGGGAACGCGTGACTTCCAACTCCCCAAACCTGTTCCTCCTTCCTGGCAGTGGAGGGGCACGCTTCACGCGGTAGCTCAAGGCAGAAGCTCCCCAGGCAGCTTCAGGCCTCCCTCCCCAGCGCCCAGCCTGCTGGCTCCACCACCCAGCCCCTCCCCGCCAGCACCAGGCCGCCCTCACCCCTGCCCAGATGCTGCCTGCTGGGTTGGAGCGGGCTCCTGTGTCCGAGGCTGGCCGCCGTGCCCTGGCACCTGCTGTCCTCTGCCTTCCTCTCCCCATCCTGCCTTGGGCCCGTGCTCCTTGCCTGCTGAGGGTCGGCCCTCCTGGTGCTATCCTTGGTCACCACCACCCTGGGCTGGGCTCGTCTTCCTGGTCTGTTTCTTCCTGTTAGCCATGCCTGGGTCTTTTAACGTTGGTTCTGTCTGTTCACTGCATACCCCTCGTGTCTAGAGCAGGGCCAGGCACCCAGAGGTGCCCACTGAGGGTCCCCAGAGGGAACGGACGAGGGTCCGTGCGCTGCCTGAGCGTACACCGCCCAGCACACAGCTCGTCTCCCCGCCATGGCGGGGCTGGCTCAGGGTCCAGCCCCCTGGGAAGGGCTCATGTGCTGGACCTGGTGCAGCCCTGTGTCACCGTGCTCTGTACTGCTCCCCCAGGTTGAAGAGGAGAAGAGGAAGAAGAAAGAGGAGGCAGCCCGGAGAAAACAAGAGCAAGAAGTAATGCGCATCCGTCTGTCTGGTGGGGCTCTCGCGGGCTGTGTGTGGGCTTGGCCAGGCCCCTGGTGACCCTCGCAGAAGGACTGTGCTCTCTGTCGCCACCACCCGAGGCCGCCCAGGCCCTTCTCACACGGTGCCCGGGGCAGGCCTGGCGCCGGGAAGGCTGTGCCCTTTGGTCACAGGCTCGAGACAGCTTTTGTGAGCTGACTACTGCTGTAATTGTTTCTAGCAACCATCTTTCTATTCCCATAGATAAAAATCTAGTTTAATTTTAAATTGTCCCTCCTTGAAATTCCCACTGCCCTGGCTGCCTCTTCCCCGTCTTTCATAGCTCTCTGAACCCGAGGGCTTGGACGCAAGCTGGGGGCTGGAGGTGGGAGCAGATGTTGTAGTGTCAAGTGTAAAGCTGCTACGTGCCACTCAGCTGTGATATGTCATGTGTCATGTTGCAGGCGGCAAAGCTGGCCAGGATGAAGGTTCCCCCCAGCGAGATGTTCTTGTCAGAGACTGACAAATACTCCAAATTTGATGAAAATGTAAGGCTTGTTTCTCTTTTTCTCAGAACCTTATTGGACCACATGAAGTTGGGGTGGTGGGAATTTTCAACCTGGGGCAAGTGGATTTTCTCTCTGGAGTAAAATTTAAGGGTAGGCTGAGGTCACCTGGCACCTGCTCTAGGTCTAGGCCTCCTGCCCCGAATGCCAAGGGCCCCGGGCTCCCAGCAGCCTGTCCAGCGGGGCAAGCCCCTGCCAGGGCTGCTGCACCCACATGGCCGAGCTCCAGCCCCGCACTGAGCATGTGGCCGGGCCAAGGTGCCGAGGCTCAGGGATGACTCGGCTGCCAGCTCTTCATCACGTCGTCCCTCTTGGATCTATCCACTGGCTGTGTACCTCTGAGCCCATCAGAGCTGAGCCTCGGGGGGCCCTGGTGGGAGCCCTGCCTCCATCCCTCAGCCCCCAGAGCCCAGGCGGGAGGGTGTGGCCACTCGTCCCGGAGTCAGACTGGCTGCATTGGGGAAATGAGCACCTTGAGACCCAGGAGGGGAGGCAGTGCCCTGGTCACTTGGTGGCGCGGGGGACACTGACAGCCTGTGTGCTCTGGCATTTCAGGGTCTTCCCACGCACGACACGGAAGGCAAAGAGCTGAGCAAAGGGCAAGCCAAGAAGCTGAAGAAGCTCTTCGAAGCGCAGGAGAAGCTGCACAAGGAGTATCTGCAGCTGGTTCAGAACGGAAGCTGCCCGTGAGCAGGTGTGGGACTGACGCTTTACCTGAGCCGTCGCGGGCCGCGGCTCCTCTGCCTCAGTGCCAACACCCCAGCGCTCTGGTCATGTTTACATTGTCCGCGGGTCCTAGCTTAAGAGCTGTGTTCGTGTGGGTTCGTGCCGTCGGCAGCTCTGAGACACAATAAATTCTTCTAAACAGTGAGACCCGTGCCACCTCTCTGCCTCACCCTGCTCGCTCAGCACTTGGCGGGCCGCCAGTGGCCGGCCGGGGCCGCTTGGTCAGCAGGTCACCACTTGGGTGCTCGGGTCAGTTGAGCCGCTTCAGCCAGCCGAGGACTTTCTCCCCCACGCTGATGGCTATCGGCTAATCTCTGGTGTGTGGGCGCATTTGGAGGTATTTGAATAGGAAAAGACAGGCTCAGACTGGCAGCAGCCACTGAGCCCCGGACAAAGGCTGCTCCGTCTGCGGTCTGCGCGGGGCCTGATGAGTGAGCACGCTGCGGCTGCCTGGAGCCAGGCAAAGTGGGAGGCTCAGCAGGTGGCCCGAGAGCTGCCCAGGACTGGAGATGGCAAGTCCAGGATCCACATGGCTGGTGGCTGAGATTGGGGGAGGGGAGTCTCAGCAGGGGGCCATCTGTCCCCAGGGCCCAGCATCGGTGAGTGCCTCTGCCACCGTGCCCGCGCACTCACACTCCCTGGACTGGGAATCCACACCCAGACGTGGACGTGCTTCCCCCTCCCTGAGTGAGGAGGGTGTGAGCAGAAGCCGGTGCCAGGCCAAATCCGTCAGGACAAAAGACAGTCACTGGTGCTGGGGTGGCCAGGCGGGGCACACTACCTGGTGCGTGTGGAGGACGGCTGCGACCCCGCGTGGGGAGTGTGGTGCGTCTGCCCGCAGGGGTGCACACTCCTGGTCCTGCAGTCCGCGTGCAGGAAGCTGCCCTGGAAGCGCAGCACTGTCCCTGTCTGGAAGGCCGCGTGCACGGGCTGTCTGCCGCGGCGCCAAGCTTGGAGCCCGCCCGTCTGTGCGTTAGCGGGAGCACTTCGAGAGCACCCACTTGGTCATGCAGGGAGCACTGGCTGTGACTCGGTGACCACGGGCTCGGGTGTGTTGACATGTCTGACTTTTGAACCTTGTCAATGTTTTACATACCAAAAAAAAACAAAAACCAAGTAAAAAAAAGGTCTTCAAAGCAAAGTGAAACAAACTTGTTCCAGTTATCTGTTGCTGCATAACAAATCGCCCCTGAAAAGTTCGCAGCTGAAAAGGATGACGGTCATCTTCCCGGCTCTCATGGCCCTGGGTGGACCAGGCTCAGCTGACCGGTTCCCGATCAGGGCTCCTCCCATGGCTGCAGGCAGACAGGGCCACGGTCCTGAAGGCTTGTGCCTCGGTCCTGGGTGGGGGCTGCTGGGGCACCAACTATCTCTAAGTGGTCTCTCAGCTTGGCAGCTTCAGGGTGGCTGCATTTCTCTCCAAGGGTTCGAATCCTGAGAGAGGATAGGAGCTCTGTGTCTCTTTAGATTCTAACCTTGGAAGTCACAGCCTGACGTCCACAAAGCCCCGCTCTCGTCCAAGGGGAGGGGCATAAGCACCAGCCCAGCACCGCCACGTTCCGGAAGAGTATGAGACGCTGCCACTATTTCAGAAACTGTCATCTGCCACAAAACCATAAATCAAATTGGCAACCTCAGAAAAAAGGACAACTTGACCTGAGCTGAGAATTGGTGACTTGCACTACACAGCTTTAGTGGGGCATCGTCTAAGGTCAAAATATACAGAGAAGTCAAACAATTAGTTTTGTTGTTAGTAGTAATATTGGCATTATTATTTTCAAGCTCTGTATTCCAAGACAAAGCAAGTAAGAACATGGATGTCAGCAACCAAAGTTTTTGTGTTTTTTTTTAGGAGACAGGGTCTTGCTCCATTGCTCTGGCTAGAGCGCCGTGGCGTCATCATAGCTCACTGCAGCCTCACACTCCGGGGCTCAAGCGATCCTCCTGCCTCAGCCTCCTGAGTAGCTGGGGCTACAGGTGTGTGCCACCACACCTGGCATATTTCTAATGTAAGAGAAAAAATGCAAATATAAAATCAAAGAAGTTAAGGAAAGTCACTATAGTGTTAAATATGAATTGGAAAATGCAATATAAACTAATTTAAAAAATAGATTGTTTCCCGGCAGTGTGGACGGGAAGGTGCAGGAGCAAGGCGATCTGGTCGCAGTGAGTACCCGGTGCCCAGATGAAAAGCCACCCCTGCCCTGGAGCAGAGGTGGGAGAGCCCAGGCCCTCCTGTGCACAAAAAGGGATGCTTCTGACACCCAAGGGAGTGATGTCAGGAGGACACAGGTCGTGTAGTGACCTGCTGTGACTACACAGCCGCTGGTGGGTGTCAAGGGCATTCTACTGAGTGGAAACACCACCGTCAAAAGGTCACTTGCTGTGTAATTCCTCGAAGACGACATTCTCAAATTCCAGATTTTAGGGATAGAGAACAGGTGGTCAGTGCCCACGGTTAGGGGTGGGGCTGGGGTGACTGCACAGGGTCAGCAGGGGGGCTTTGTGGTGGGGGACACTTCTGTGTCCTCGTTGCAGTGGTGACCGGCGAGTCTGAACGTGCGATGACACACCGCAGAACCACACACGCGCTCCGGCCGCACAGGAGCTCACAGGACCTCTCAGTACTGCTTTTGCAACTTCCTGAGAATCTAAGTTATCAATATTTTGAAATAAAAAGCCTTCAGGAGCTCCTAGTGGCCAAGTCTGGGACAATCTGAGCATCGAAAGGAATGATGAATTAAAATCCAGGCATCCTAGCACTCTGGGAGGCCGAGGCGGTGGATTGCTCAAGGTCAGGAGTTCGAGACCCGCCTGAGCAACAGCGATTTTCTAATTTCTACTAAAAATAGAAATTAATTGGCCAACTAAAAATATATAGAAAAAAATTAGCTGGGCATGGTGGCCCATGCCTGTAGTCCCAGCTACTTGGGAGGCTGAGGCAGGAGGATCGCTTGAGCCTGGGAGTTTGAGCTTGCTGTGAGCGAGGCTGATGCCATGGCACTCTAGTCTGAGCAACAGAGTGAGACTCTGTATCAAAAAAAAACACACAAAAAACCTAGGTGTCTATACATACTATCAGAAACAGAGAAAGACAAAAAATATTAATCTGTCACCACTGAGGGTGGCTGTTCAGCTCCTTTCTCTGCAGACTTGCTGGCTAGTGACGGATGTGAGCATTTCTCCTCCTTCCTCAGCTCTCCTGGCCACATCAAGGGCCCCGTGGCTTGCCCAACCCCCTCCGGATGCCCAGGGGAGGACGGCTTCCTGCCCTCAAGCTGCAGCAGAGCACGGTGGGGTGGAAAATGTTCTTAACTTACATATTAGTAATATTAATTTGCCAATAAAAGTTGTCTTTTGTGTGCACAAAAACTCTGTTCAGCTTTAAGAGCCAAATCTAGGTCTTCCTACCAATCTTTGGTGTTTTACTCTAAAAACATCTCATTTATTATTTAAAAATCATGTAACAGAAAATTACTAATATAAAACAGAAGGTGAGAGGCCCCATGCCCCACCCTGAGGTAGCACCCTGGAAGAGTTTGGGGCACAGCCTCCTCCCTCCTGAGGGTGAGGCTGGAAAACCCGCTCCTGGCCGTGCCTCCCTCTTCTGCAGGGACTGACTGGACGGCTGCTGACATCCGTGTCCCGTGAGACCTGATTCACCCCCAGCGGAGCCACCGCCTGCTGAGGAGGATCTGGGGCGTTTCTGGGCCCAGTGCCCCTGCTGGCGGCATTTGGAGAGAAGTGTCTTGCAGGCAAAGGGCACAGCCCCCTCCAGGGCCAGGAGCCACCTAGCCGGGGGTGCTGCGGGGCTCTGTTTCCTCCCCCGTAGAATAGGGACAGTGATGCCTACCTGCCGCCACCACCAGGTCAAGGTGCTGACGTAAGTGGCGCCCAGGTGATGGCACAGCTCAGCAAGCACCAGGCGCATCCCAGGCAATGGCAATGTGCAGGAGAAAGACACGGTATCTATCTGCAGCGGTCTCAGGGAGAGGCAGCCTCTCCAGGGGACCCCTGAGCTCGCAGCGGTGGGGGGCGGAGGAGACAGAGGGGCTGCTGACAGGTGCATACAGGTCAGAGGCCAGCAGGACCCAGGGGGGCGAATGTCTCGGAGTGCCAAGCCCAGCAGCCCTCAGCCCCGGTAGCACTGTGGCATCATCTGGGGACTGTTAAACCAGTGCCCACCTGCCTGTCCCCTAGTCTGATTCCCCGGTGGGCAGTGGGGAGCTACAGAAGGATACCTGCTAGCAGGGCGGCTGCTCAGAGCTCGCTGGCGCGCGCTGGGGACCAAGGCTGGGACCCTGCGGGCAGCGAGACTGCTGTGACAGACAGCTGTGCTCCCAGAGAGCAGGGCTGTCCTGGCCCCGGAGGCACCGGCCCATGGCAGCCCCGTATGCTGGCGCTTCTGCCCGGGGCAGTGGTTAATCAGAAAGGAGTCTGCCCATAGCCTAACTGAGAGGCCCGATACAAGGCTTTGGCATCACAAAAGCCTAGGCCTTTGTGAAGGGGGACAGGGACAGTGAGTAGGCCTCTCAGAATTCAAGTGTCTTTAGGGGGGAGCTAAAACTTCAGGGAGAAGATGGCAGCCTCTTCCAGCCTTCCTGTCAAGTGAGCGACAGGAACCACCCTCAGGGCTTGGTCCAGGGCAGCTCCTGCAGACATAAGGGCCCAGGATGCCGGGGACTGCCTTTGAAAGCTGAGGTGAGACGAGAACCCACTGTCCCCAAGCAGCCAGAGGATGCCCCTGGGGTGGGCATCTTGCTCCAGGTCCCTGGAGGACTGCACCAGGGCCTGCCAGGACCCTGAGTGGGAGGTGGGTGGTGGAAGGCCTGCCCCCAATCCCAGCGCCGCCGGAGCACCAGTGTGGAGTGTCCAGGGACTCCAGGCCACCTGGAGCAGTTGCCCATTGGAAAGCAGAGGGAGGCCACCCCACAGGACGGGGCTAGCACATTCCACGACAGAAGACGTACTGGATTAAATAGTGTCCCCCCGAAAGCATGTCCAGCTGGGACCTGTGAAGGTGAACTTATTTGGAAATAGGGTCTTTGCAGAGGTAGGTAGGTGAACACAAGGTCACCCTGGAGTAAGGTGGTCCCTAAATCCAGTATGACTGGTGTCTCTACAGGAGGAAGAGAGACACAGAGATCCAGACACCCTGGGAAGCCAGGAGACCATGGAGGCAGAGACTGGAACCCTGTGGCCACATGCCAGGGGACGGCCTGGGGCCCCAGAAGCTGCAGGGTTAGAACTCTCCCAGAGAGCCCTGCAGGGAGCATGCCCCTCACACCCCTCAATTTCTGACTTCTGGCCTTGAGAACTTGAGACAATGAACTGCTGTTGCTTCCAGCCCCCAGGAAACAGAGGACCTGGTCCTCCTGCCTTTGTGAGCACGTTTGATACAACTTAGTGCTTTATTTAAATAAATCCAGTCGAGGTATAATGGAGAACAGAAAATACAGGCACAGTGCAGGCAAGTGAGGAACATTACTTAATTTCATAATGGATGTTTAATTTCACAATCAGACATTTTGCAGGTCTCAAAGGGCCACCTACATGGGGTTCTTACTCCCACTTCTGCTGGAGAATTCCCGACCCAGCAAGCCCAAGACCCGAGGCAGTGCCAGGCCCAGATAGAGAGTGCTTGGGACAGTGTGGGCATCCCGCCTGCCACTCCCACCTGCCACTGGGGCCCTTGGGAGGTGGCAGCCTCCCCCTGGGAATCACCTGCTCCCAACCCCAATCTCTGCCACACAGGCGACTGCCAGTGGCACCTGCTAGCACTATCTCTGGGGACCCCAGCCACCCTGAGCTATTTGTAGGTCCTGGAATGTGCTGTGCTGTGGCCACCCAGCCTCCGCTCGTGCCCACCTGCCTGCCACTCCTGCTGGTCCTGAGTATCAGCTAGCAGCGGTCCCTAACCGTTTTGGCATCAGGGATTAGCTTCATGGAAGACAATTTTTCCATAGACTGAGGCGGGGGCGGAGGAGGCAGAGCTCAGGCGGTGATGCGAACAATGGGGAGCAGCTATAAACACAGGTGTGGCTTCACCTGCCGCTCTCCTGCTGTGCGCCCCCCACCTTTTCCTAAGTTTCAGGCAGGACAATTTTTCTGCAGATGGCATGGGAGGAGGGGTGAGGCCGAGCCGTGTGGCTCAGTCCATGGCCTGGGAATTGGGGACTGCAGAGCTAGAGCGCCACTTCCTCCCGGAAACTCATCTGGTGCTCTTCCTTCTGGTGGGGGCAGGGCAGGAGGTGGGGAGACACAAGAGCAATCTGATGAGCCGGTGCTGTGATGGAAGGAAAGAGGAAGATGACCATCCACTGGACCCAAATGACAGGAGGGAGCTGATGAGGGCAGAGAGGATATTCACAGCCCCCAAGAAAGGGCCAGCTTTGTACAAACCCTTGAGAGGCCCAGAGGGGCCAGCTGGGAGTCTGGACAACTGCAGGTGGGGACAGGTGGACTCTGCCATCCCAGGCCTGGCCTGCTTTCTCCAGGCGGCGTCCAGCTGCAAGCTGATGTCTCTCAGCCTTGGGCTCAGTGTGCAGGCCCCGGGGTCGCTGCTCCCAGATGCAGGGGGCCCACCTGGGAGGGGCATTCATCCTGAGCACAGGGCCTGTGAGGGACCAGATGTCAGCTGGGGGGCACAGTGCAGGCCGAGCCACTGAGCAGGGACTAAAGAGAAGTGCTGGGCTCCAGCTCCGAACCCCAGGAAGTCCTTGGGCATTTAGTATCCTTCCCTTCTGCCCACCCTCTGTACACACTGGTGGCAGGTGACAAGACAGCCATGTGTGCATCAAGTGAGATTCCACAAAGCCCTGTCAAGTGGGTACCATTATACAAATGCCATTTTACAAGTGGGGAAACAGGCACAGGCCCTTGCCTAAGGTTACCCAGCTAGAATTTGGCCCCCAGGGTCTCACCCAGGAATCTCTGCCCTATAACCCCTACTACTTTATACACGGCCCAGTGGCTGTGGCCTCCAAAAGTTATGTTCAAGTCCTTCCTGGTGCCTGTGTATGTGACATTTGGAAATAAGATGGAAATAGGGTCTATGTAGATACAATCATGTTAAATGAAGTCATTAGGATGGGCCCGAATCCAGTGACTGGAGTCTTCATATTACAGAAAGAGGAGACAACCCAGCCTGGGCAACAGTGAGACCCATCTCTACAAAAAAGAAATTAGCTGGGCGTGGTGGTACGTGCTAGCTAGTCCCAGCTACTCAGGAGGCTGAGGAAGGAGGATCCCATGAGCCCAGGAGTTTAAGGAAACAGTGAACTGTGATCATCGAGCCACTGTACTCCAGCCTGAGAAACAAGAGAGCTTGTCTCTAAAAATAAATAAAAATAAAAAAGAGAAGACACAGAAACACACAAAAAGGAAAGCCATGTGAAGACAGAAGCAGAGATTGGAATGGTGTGGGCCCAAGTCAAGGGACGCCTGGAGCCACCAGAAGCTGGGGGAGGCAGGAGGAATCCTCCCCTGGAGTTTTTAGGAGGGAGCATGGCCCTGCTGACACCTTCTAGCCTCCAGAACTGTAAAGAATGCATTTCTCATTTTTCAGCTACCCAGTTTGAGGTGCTCTGGGGTACTCAGCCACAGGAAACTACAGCATTCTCAGTACCATCACAGGTGGTTAAGCCTTTGGGTGGATGTCACCCCCATTCCTAGGAATCACTGAAATCACCCTAAGGAAAGATGACACAACAGCCAATCCCACTTGCAGCAGGTGCTCCGAGGACCAGGCCCACCCAGCTCCCCTCTGGGCTGCACCCACGGAGATGCCACACCCACACCAGCCCCAACATCCAGGCACAGCCAGACTCAATGACTGCAAATGCACTTGGACTTCATTAAATAGGAAGAGTGACCCTCAAACTTGAACATGCTTGCATTCTTTTCTTTCGTAGTTTATGCCCCCCTCCCAAAACCAAAGTGTGGTCATGATAGAAAAGTCAGGAAACCTCAATAAGGAAACTAGGGGATTGAGAGCACACACCCCCTCTCCTAAAGCAGACAGCCGGGTGGGCTGCGCCCGGCCACATGCGGGTCACCCCGGGGTCTGTAGCCCCGCTATGTGCTTCAGCCCTCCACCAAGAGCCTTTCGATGGTTTCACACTTTTCCCCGGGACAAACTGCACAGAACATGAATAGAATACTCTGCCAAAAAGTTACTTATATAAAATATTTCCAGTAGTCTCACCCAAGGAAAAGGGGCCGTTTCTTAAAAAGAACACAAAAATCATAAAGACCCACAGCGACACTGCTGAGCACGGAAACGACCTGGCTTCAGGGGGCCCGGCCGGGGTGTCATTTCCCACTACGCTGGGGGTGCCCCGGCCGGCGCCCGGCTATCCACCGGCCCCGAGGAGGCAGGCCGCGCGCGGGGAATCCCCCGCCCTGGCGGGAGCGCCGCAGAAACTCAGTAGGAGAGTGCGGTGGCGCACGCTGACGACGTCACGCTTTTCGTCTGCGTCCGGCTCCGCGCCTGAGCGCGGCGGGCTCGGCGACCCTTTTGGCGGCCTCTGATTGGTCGCTGCTCACGGGGCGGAGGCGTAGTTGACTTGCGCCGAGCTCGCCCAACCGCAGGCCGCCTTGCTCGCGGAGGGTGGAGCCAGGACGCTCGGCCAATGGGAGGCGGTGTTGTTGGCGGCCACGGCGGCGCAGCCCCAAATCGAGCGAAGCTCCGGTCGCCGCCACTACCGCAGGAGTTGTGAGGTGCGGGCATGCGGGCGCTCGGCCGGTAACGGCGCGCTGGGGCGGGCGGCCGGGGCCGGGCGCGGGACCAGCGCGGGGGCTGGTCCGCGGAGGGCGGCGGCCGCCATCTCGCGGCTGCAGGCCCGCGGGCAGCCGGGCAGCGGGCCGCGTCCTAGTGGGCCTGGGCTGCGGCGGCGGCGGGCCGCGGGCTGGGCGCGGAGCGGCCGGGCCGGGCGTCCTCCCCGCAGGCCTGAAGGTCAGGGGCGCATTGCTGTGCGCCGCGGGCTGCTGCGGACCCGGCGCGGGGCGGAGCGGGCGGGCCTGCTGGGCGTCGGCCCGCCGAGAAGGGGAGGACGGCGGGCGGCCGAGGCAGGACCGGCCCTGCGTGCGCTCAAATCTCCCGCTGGCCGCCGCCGGCCCACGTGCTGTGACTCGGGGGCGAGGCCCGGGAGCTTGAGCCCGGCGGTTGCCCGGCGAGACGGGCCGAGGCTCCTCGTTCGTAAAGTGGACACGGCCCGGGGACCTTTTCGTGTTCAGAACTTGAGTTTTCCGTGGGGCATTTGTCATTGTGAGCCCTTCGGTTTGGGCAAAGTTAACTGTGGGGTTTTGTTTGTGAAATTCGTGTAGCCGTTGGCGCCTTTGAAAAGGAAACAAGATCTTTGTGCTGTTTCTTAGCTGTTGTTGGGAGCAAGTGAGAGCGAGGTGCTGGCGACACAGGCTCCCAAGGAAGAGGACTGGGCGTAAGCGGCCTCAGACTAAGGTGCTGAGGGGACTTGGTTTACCCACTCAAGGTGGGCATCGGGTCTCCTTTACTATTTAAAGCCATCTTTCAAAAAAGGAAAATAAACTCTTAAAAAGAATTTAATAATCTGTTCATGTTACGGATGGGAAAGTCCCATGCCTTCCATTCGGTTCAGAGATGGTGAGAGAAGTTACATTTGTATATCTTTTGTATTTTTACCTACTAAGCCTCCTTTTTTAATCCCTCCCTTTTGTGAATGCTGTATGTTCATCCCAGCAAAGGATTGCCATGTCATGATAAGAGTGTCCACCGTCCACATTACTCTGTCTAAGCCTGATTAGGGTGGGAGAGGCAGCCCGAGTTTTGGGTCCAGTAATGTGGATTCTAACCTTGGAAACTTGAGGCTCCTAACGTGTCAGGTCGCCTGCCTGGGTGATAGCAAAAAGGTCCACCATTTCTTCGCATTCTCAAAGGAATCCTTGGGACACATTAGTGCCTTCACATACCCACTCTGCTTTACTTTCTCTTGTAATAATCCCTGCTCCATCTTCCTGCATTTTGGTATGTGGTATAAAAATTAATTTGTGAAAAATCTCTTTAAAAAATGTACAGGCCTATAATTTAGGTTGCTGGACCTAAAACTTAAGTATTTTTATACTGCCTCCCTGTAATAGTAACTATAGCTCTAAATGACTAATATCTGTTGGCTACACACCAGGGGTTCCTTTTAACCTCTTCGCATGTATTAGCTCGCTTCATAATCTGATAACCTGTGAGGTAGATTCTGTTGTTTTTCCATTTAACTCCTCAGGAAACTAAGGCCCTGGGAGGTTAAGTATAACAACTTGTTCAAGGTGACAAAGCTTGGATTAAAACCCAAATCTGTGCAGTTTTAATCTTGCTCAGATTTACTGCTTTTGGAGAAGAAATGAAAGAAGTTTTAATGAAAAATTATGTTTTCGTCATTGCATTAAGCTTAACTAAACTCTTTTATGAGGATTTGAGCTGGTTGGCCTTTTCCATCTCAAAATTCTGTTATTCCACACAATGCCAAATGCTTCCCCTAGTAGAATCTTCAGATTATTTTAGACTAGGGTGAGCAATTGCTGGTGAAATAAATAATAGAAGAACGGAAGGGTGGTGATAGACTTGGGATATATTCCAAAGATTAAATGAATGACTAAAGAAGAGGGAGATGATTTAAAGATTAGTTTTTCAGTAGTAGTTCATTTGTTGAGATGGAGTTGGGAGGAAAAAGAAACCCCATAAAATGAATTTTCTCAGTTTATTAGCTCCTTCCTCACTTGTGGTCCAAATAAAAGTTTTTCTTTGATCTTGAGAAGGTAAATAACTATATTCAGAGACTTGGAAGAATCAAATTGAATAAGACCTTTTTGGTTAGTAAATATACTGCTGTAAAACTTAACTTTTATAGAGCTATTCACAAGAGGGACCTAGTTTATTGATGACATAGATACAGGAATTATAACCTTTTTAAGTTTACTTAGAGATTTTTTTGATCTCCATGTTGCCCAGGCTGATCTTGAACTCCTGGGCAGCAATTCTCCCATCTCAGTCTCCCTGGTAACTGGGGATTACAGGCACCCACCATTGCTGTGCCAGTATAGATATTTTGACTAGAATTTTTTTTTTTTTTAATTTATTTTGAGACAGAGTCTCGCTTTGTTGTCCAGGCTAGAGTGAGTGCCATGGCGTCAGCCTAGCTCACAGCAACCTCAAACTCCTGGGCTCGAGCGATCCTTCTGCCTCAGCCTCCGGAGTAGCTGGGACTACAGCCATGCGCCACCATGCCTGGCTAATTTTTTTTATATATATCAGTTGGCCAATTAATTTCTTTCTATTTATAGTAGAGACGGGGTCTTGCTCTTGCTCAGGCTGGTTTTGAACTCCTGACCTCGAGCAATCCGCCCGCCTCGGCCTCCCAGAGAGCTAGGATTACAGGCGTGAGCCACCGCGCCCGGCCCTTGACTAGAATTTTAAGACACCTTGTGGTGTGATTTTATGAACCATTTTAACACTTTATTGCTGTCTTAAATAGCTGTTACTACAAATATATTTGCAGTCTTTTTTTCCCCTGGTTGAGCAGTGTTATTGATTCAGAGTATCTATAATTATCTGTGCCCTTGTGTAATAACATTTAAACACTTAACTTTGTGAATTTTGTGATACAAGCTTTGAATCATGTCCTGTTTTTTAAAATGAATATGAGTAGTAATTGGTTGAATTCTTTGCAGTAGCAAAGAAATGATTTTATCATTTTCATGTTTGATAACCTTGGTAAACTGAATTCTAAAAAGGCTACATATATTTTGGGATATTGTCCTCAAAATGTACTAGGCATTGTATTTTGTGAATTAGACATTTCGATAATTAGACTCTTCTGTGGAATACTGAGTTTAGAAATTTTTACCTGTATGAGATAGTTCATATTTTTATAGAGATTAAGTACTTAGTGATGGGATATGTTCACTTCCACTTTACAGTCTGAATTTGAACTTGAATCTTAAATTAATACATTTCCATTAACCTGTCAGGTTTTTAGTAGCCTGTTGTTACTGAGAGCATATTAATTTCTTGCGTTAGCCATTCCCACCTAAGTGTTGAGATTGAAATCTTGCTTCCATTTTTATTCTTTTGGTACTCTCTAACATGAGGAAGAGGTGACTTCAGATATATGTGTATATATAATGGCATAATGGAGTTCAAAATTACTTCAGAGGTGCATTTCTTCCTTTTGTCGTCTGCAGTTTAAAATCTGCTGTGATAAGTTTATGTTGTAATTCCAAAAATTTTGCCAGAGAACCTAAAGTTTTTGGTTTGTTTTGGAAGAAAAATATCTTATGGGCAAGAGGGTGGTTTAAATTCCTGAAGGCCGAAGAGCCATTGGACTATATGTCATTACTGCTTGGAACCAATCCTCCCAGTGATGGCCTCTTTTTGAATAATAAGGCAGCCGCTGTGAGCTTGTTGGGCCTTTGGTCTGAGATTGCCAGTGTAAGAAGTGCTTAGTTGTCTGTTTGTTTAAAGGGAAATGTGTTTTAGGCATCCAGAGTAAAAGACCGACATTCTTAGTTTGATTGTTATACCACTTCAGTGATAGGAAGTGGCTGATACGGAATGTCTGCAGGAAACCTTACTCATCTGGCCTCAGTTTACTTTTCCTGGGACCTCCTAGGCTAGCAATTTGGGCCTCCCTGACCTGCTGTTGTGAGATTTTCTATGAGTGCGTGGTAATGGAAAACTCATATTGATTGGTAGGTGGTAAAGAATTTTGTATTAGTTATGAAGTCTTTAAGAAATAGTTTGTGGCCTGGCATGGTGGCTCGTGCTTATAATCCACCACTCTGGGAGGCTGAGGCTGGAGGATTGCTTGAGGCCAGGAATTCAAGACCAGCCTGGGCGACATAACAAGACCTTGTCTCAACAAAAGAATAAAGAAGCTGGGCATGGTGGCACACACTTGGTCCTAGCTACTTGGGAGTCTGAGGTGGGAGGATCACTGGGAGTGTGAAGCTGCAGTGAGCTATGATCATGACACTGCACTTCAGCCTGGGAAATGGAGTGAGATTCTGTCTCTAAAAAGAAAAAATATTTTAAAAAAGAAAGTTCACAATGATGTGTATTCGTTTTCATCTGACAGTTATTGTTTTTCTACCCTGCCCTCTTAAGAGAAAGCAAGGCTACTTTATTTTGCCACTGAATTTAAAATTTTCTTTTTAGTAGCAGGAGAGGCATTGCATTTTTCCTGTATGAAGACTACAAAAGATCACTTTGTGAATTTTATCTTTTGATCTTGACCACACTCTAGCCTTAGACTTCCTCTTATGAATACACTCTGTCAGCTGTTAAAACTAAGTGTGCTTCCATTCCATGTCCTTGGAACTCTTTTGAACATACTGTGCATTTATCCTTATCCAAAAAAGCCTGT